GAGGTTAAGTATAATCAGCACTGTTGCTCTTTATGGGCGAAGCCTCATCTTTCACAGGAGTTGGGACTGGTGGTTTTGAATTGCTAATCTTGCAGTTAGCAGCCCAATTTGTAACCAATATGCCATAATCACAGAGAACAGGTGATTCCTAAAAGTGAAATATAAGCTTAAGTGCAGACAAAGGTAAAAATCAACGTCTGTCACAAAACATTTCCATTTTTCTGTCCAAGAATCTAATAAAAAAACATTCACATTTAAAACGTACTTTCCTTGAATCCTATCCATTCTCCTCCCCAGCTGGGTGGAAGAGAGGGCTATTTAATGTCAGACGATGAAGACCCACTGGGAGCAGGGAATATTAGCTGGTCTGCATGTAATAATGTATGTTGAGGAATAAAACAATAATTCACATTCCAAGTAAGCATCAGGAAAGGGTGAGGAAGAGCCCCAGAGTCAACTCCTCATCGTAAAAGGCTCACCTTGCGATCAGTGAGCAGTTGTGAATCATATTCTTCTCCACAAAGATGCCTTGAGATTCGTCTGTCTCAACGATCCGTCCATCCTGGTACCACAGCACCTGCATGTCCTGGTCGATGTAGGAGGCCATGCATTGGAAAGGGAGGCTGTCCCCCTCAAACACAACTTGTCGGTGCGATGGAGTCATGTAGAAGGATGGCAATTCAAGGGGAGGGTCTGGGGGCAGAAAATCACACTCAGTGCACAAGCACAACGCTGCCATGGAAAATCACAAGTGACAATGTTCCTCATCAGAACCCAGTGTGTGTGATGACGCAGAGGAGCATCCTCAGGGCAGTCACAAGGTTACCGGTGAGACAGAAAGTCACGGGCAAACACAGAACCAAGTACAAACCAAGTACATTTCTAAACCAGAAATGCCTAATACACAACCCTGTAATGGTGAACCAACCAGTCACCAGTCTACTATATTAAAAGACACAAATTAAAAGTACATGCAAGGGTATGCACAATAGTCAGTGGGCGATCCTTGTGACTTGCCATCAAAAACATCAAAACCAATTGCCTGCCATCAAGTTGATGCAGACTCATAGTGATTCTGCGGGGCAGAGTAGAATTGTCCCTGTGAGTTTCTGAGACTGCACCTGTTGACGGGAGAAGAAAGCGCCAACTTTCTCCCGAAGAACAGCAAGTGGTCTGGAAGTGCTGACCTTGGTGGTCGCAGCCCAGCTTGTAACCCCTATGCCACCAGAGCTCCCTCAACCCTTGGTTTCCTGTACCTAGATACAATTCTTGGATGGTTTTTACACAGAGGAAGGTACCCTATAAACTATGAAGTACAACACACATTTGACTGGCATTAGATACCAGCCAAGCCTGCCTGTTGCGACTTGTGTACGTACGTATTCAACGTAAAGACTAACTTGGAAGCAGAGAGCATGGTACCCTGGGGCACTGCCTCAATTACCATCAAACCGCTTCATAATGAGCCCTGACATTTAACGTGCACCCTTTTGATGGCAATACAAGACTACTCCTGCTATAAGACGCCCACAGAAGGCAACTAAGAGAACAAGTTTTAATGATACTTAAATACAGAGAGTGGAACTAGAGATAAGTAAATGCTGATGTGTGCAATTTCCAATGACATCTATGAGCCTGGCCGACCTCTGGGGGAAACAGTGGAGTCTGATTATATTCTTCTGGTTGAAAACTTAAGACTCCTTAAGGAAGCAAACAAATCTCTCCTTACCTTATATATCATAACCACTTTTTTAAAAAGTGAGCACCCATTCTTCCTGTCAGTCAGTGGGGCTAAGTACTACATACATGTGCAATAAATGTTTATAAATAACATGGGCTCATTAAAAGCCATGGGAATATTCCGTCCATACGGTTAACATAGTAATTCCACGTAGGCCATAGAATTAACAACAAATGTGCAAAGTTATATACCAGAAAATTAATCGCTGCATGGCTTAGGGAGTGAGAAATGATTAACAACCCAAATACGCAGCAATAGGAAAGCTGTTAACTAAATTATGACTACATCTAGAACATGATTGGTAGCCATCTACTTAGAGCCCTACACACACACACACAAAGGAAGCACACACTCTGGTACGCTCTGAAAAGGCCGTGATTAGGATGCTGAGTGAGATTTCCACGAAGCTGGAAAGTGTAAGCAATCTAGGAAGAGGGTGAAGATGATACACCTTGTCATCTCCACGTGAGAAGGAGGCCAGCCCGGGCTCTATTTCTTTCTTAATTCCTGCTTCGTTTCCGACCTGAATGTCCACCCCATAAAGAGATTTTACTTGTGAAATAGCAGGAAGACTAAATAGGACGGGAAAGACTGTGGTAAGGCTGCATGCTTCCCAATACACAAGATTAAGTGAGGCTCTCCCACACGCACCTTGGCCACTGCCATCTAGCTGATTCAGTCTCTGTGGAACCCTATCCAGGGCTGTATAGCTGGTAATCTTTACAGGAGCTGACAGCCTCCTCTTTCTCCCACAGAGCAGTGATTGGGTTTGAAGCACGGACATTGCGGTGAGCGGGCCGATGCTTGCCCAACAGCACCACCAGGGCTCCTTTTAAAGCACTCTCTTAATTTGTGAGTATTTGTGTTTTTCTTTTCCACTTATATCAGGTACCAGCGGGCTGAATACAACTCGTGGCGAGCCTGCCTGCATCCTAACAGCACTGTGTTTCACAGAGCGTTTCAATGGCTAGTTTATGAAGGAAAAAACCTCACTGCCATGGAGTCCATCCCGACCCACAGCAACCCCGTAGGAGACAGCCGGGCTGCACCGGCGGTTTCTGGACTGAGCTCTTTTGGGAGTCGAAGGCTTCATGCTCCCCCAGTGTGTTTTGGAAAGGGGTCGTGAATGCTACAGCCCCTGGACTTCAGACAGTCAAGCTGACCTCCTCCTACTGACGGACTGTATGGCACATTTCAAACCAGGTCTCCATGAGTGAAAACATAGGGATGATTTGTACATAGAGACGGAAGATTTATAGAATTATCCACTCGCTTCCTAAAATTTAAAGTATCGATGTTGAATTACCAGAACAAGTTGCATCAACCTTTGAAAAACGCTGCTACCTAGCGCCCAGCTACCTGTCCAAAGGCCAGACGTCCACTTCCACTCTCAACTGTCAAGACACCGTCCTGAGATGTCATTATTGCAAGCCCACCCATGCTTCACCAGGTGACCCCAAATCTCTAGGTCTCTGTGCTTCTCCAAAAACTGGCTTTCCTAACACAAAACTACTCAGGATCTAAGAACAGCTTACCTTAAACTTCGATCAAACGGAATCGTGCGTTGGTGTTTTTTTTGGGTTTTTTTTTTTTTCTGTTTTCTTTAATCCACCTGGATTAACTGCTTAATTGTTTTTGGCACCGACTAAATATGACCAAATCCCCCAAGATGAATGGCTGCGCTTCAGCCCCAGCCAAGTATGATGGGAATTTTACATTTGGTCAGGCTGAAACGTGGGAGCCGGTGGAAACGTGGTGGAAGTTTCCCGCGGCATACTTTCTCCCTTACCGCACGTCAGCAGCTCCTGCTTCACCCCGGTGACCGGCTGGGCCTGCAGGGACTTGGGGTAGGCACACCGGGTATCCCGCACGGTGATGTTCCTCTCCTTCACCCAGCGGTGCATCCACAGGATGTTACAATCACACAACAGGTACTCAGTCTGGAATTCCCTGTGCCACACAAAATACAAATGAGAGAGGCTGGGGATCAATGCCAAGCGGCACATTGTTCACGGTGCTGTCGGATGGCTGGGGAGCCAGCCTGGCCTCGTGGCAGCCCTTTGAGTAGTGGAATGAAGGCCCACCTGGTCCTACACCAGCCTCGGGATGGCGCCGACCTTGAGTCCATTGTCTGGACCCTTCTGTCAGCTCATCTCCGTGAGGGTGTGCTTCCTCTGCTCTGCTTATCCTTTTCTATCCGTCTATCCGTTATCTCCTGATAACGCATTTACCGTGACGCCACCCCAACTCTCACCATCCTAACTTCTAAGAAGCACTCTTTGCAGAGAGGTGCCAGTGTGAGCCTTTGGGATTCCATGAGTCATGCAACTAAGCACTCTCACAGGTGAGCACGTCCATCAAGGAGAAACATCACCAAATGATTTACTTTAAAAACAGACGAGCAGTGTGCAGTGTTACACAAAGAAAATGAGTGCGCTGGTCTGAACACATTCTGAAGAGCTACCCTATGCTTTCCGAGTGTTCACGGAAGAGTCTGATTTCTGCCAATTTACTTGACAGTCCTCATAAAGTACCCTTTATGAGAGGGACCACTACTACACTTTAAAACTGAAGACAAGACAAAATTCTTACTTACAAAGACCGCAGCGAGCCAAGATAGTCAAAAGTTCCTTGAGATAATGAAGAAAACAAATTCCCTGAAAGATTTCTGGGGAAGGAAAAAAAAAAAGGAAAGAATTTCACTTAAAAAAAATACCATTATACCTTTTCTACGATTGAATAGTTCCGTGCCTTGTAATCAGAAAGTAATGTTCCACTGAGTGTATAAAAGTTAGTTTCAATTTTGTAAAGAGGAAGTAAGTGGTAAATATTTTATCCAAGCTTGACCTATGGAAATCCACTGCCATTGAATCCATTCTGATTTGCAAACATTTCCAAGATTGTAGATCTTTAAGGAAGCATATACCTTAAACTTTCCCCTCAGAGAATTTAGGAGTTTAAACTTCTGACCTTGCAGTTAGCCACCCGGTACTTACTCAGGCAGACCCACCAACGCCCTTCAGTCCCACAGGAAGGAGCGTACAACGGAAACATTATCCCGCTAGCTGAGGATTTCCTATCCCATAGCAGGTGATTCTGATTGGCACCTAACCAAGCACCAACTTCACAATCAGGTCTTTAGTCAAGCCCTCCTTGTCCCTGGTCACCCAGTGACAGTCAAGGAAGAAATAAAAAAAAATATTTTAAGTGGAAAAGGATAGCCTGACTGTCCAGCAGCAACAACACTCCCTAATTGAGTGCAAACCACGGTCACAGCAGAATGAGTCCAGGGTTCCAAAGGAAAGCGACTTAGGGTATAAGACAGAGTTCACCTTGGGCAAATGACTTGACCTTGCTAGTAGGGTATAAGACAGAGTTCACCTTGGGCAAATGACTTGACCTTGCTAGTCTCCCCTTGTGCCAGTGAGTCTAATACACACCTAAACCTTGCAGAGGAACCTGAGCAGCACAAGGGTTAAGCAGCAGACTGCTATCTGAAAGGTCCTCGATTCCAACCCCCCACACCAAGGGAGTCTGTAAAACTAGCGAGCTGCTCCCAGAAGAAGTACAGCCCAGGAAACCACACGGGGCAGTTCGACTAGGTCCCTCAAGGTCACTCTGAGTGGACATCCACTCCACAGCACGGCACCGTACCAGAGGAGCAAACCTCGTGGAGTTTTGTGTGGATTAAAACTCAGAGCACCCCATGCTACAACCAGAGTAGCCTGTGAATGCCCACGGCTGCTTGAGGAATGTGTTTTTGCCAAATTTGACCATGAGCTCCAGAAGAAAGGTGACACATTTGGGTCATTCCCTGAGGTGCCTCTGACAGCTAGCTATTGACTTCTAAAGTGCCTTGTAACCAGGAAACAATGTTGTGCACAGTTTATGGATTTTGTAAAGAGGAAGTAAGTGGTAAATATTTTTTAACTTTTGTTTGCTTACATTGGCTACACAAATATAGGTGAAATTACCAGAAGTTAAATGTTCCTGGTGTATGGCTTTGTACTGATGTGTTACCTCTGACTGAAGGGAGGGAGTAATGCAAAGAAATGCAATCCCCATCAACAGAAGTATCGGTTAACTAAAGCACAGTCCATCCTACACTAGTTAACAAGCATAAATCCAATGACCTGAATGATCATACGCACAGACACCTTCTGGGACAGAGAGCTGCCCTGTGGGTTTCTGAGACGGTCTACCTTTCCAGGAGCAGAAAGCCTCACCTTTCTATGCAGAGCAGCTGGCGGTTTGGGGTTGCTGACTTCAGGATTTATTAGAAGCCCAATGCTCAATCCATATGCCATCGGGCTGAATCAGAATTGAACATGAGTAGGATCGTAAATCTCAAAACACATATCAGGTAAGAGGTAAAACATAACAGTGGACCTCGCTTCAATAATTTCCAAAAAGTTTAGCAGAGCAGGAGGGAGGAGAAAGTAAACAGTCAGAAAATTACTACAGCCTTACTTAGTCCCATTCTGACCTAACATGACCTAAGTCACTCTGGGACTGCCCTAACCCGACAATCTTGTCTAAGGAACACTGCTGCCCAAATCCCAAGACAGAGCTGTAAATCACTCTGAACTAAAATCAAGCAGCAGGAGATGTTTTCTATTTGAGTCATAGGCACCCAAAATTACACAAGCTTTTCCTTCATCACTGCCTCATTTGAGGCAGTCCTCAAAGTAAAAATATACCACCACCACCACCAGAGTCCCCAGAAAAGGGGGGGCGGGGCACTGCCTGAGGTCACACAAAAAAAGTTAAATACGATTGATTCAAGTAATTCCCTGGCATGAATAAAACTCTACAGGAAATCACTCTCTTACTGAAAAACATCATTCGTGTCTCATTCGGCCCTACGTTTTCCAAAGGAAGAGGGCAACTCAAAGACCTGCTGTCAAGTTCCCTGACTGAAGAAGCGGGAGCCATTTGTCCTGCCCTGACCAGGGAGCTAGGTCCCTTCTCTTCCTGTGGAAATGGGGGCATCACAGTACTTCAGAGTCAAGACTTGTGAAGGTTATACGAATGGACACATGAGGGACATGCTAAGGAACAAACTTGTAAAAGAACCAGGCACAAAAAGGCTCTTTAACCAAAGGTCTTTGGACCTAAACAACCCTCACCCCCACTCCCAAGTTTCAGGCTGCAAATGACTAATTTTCCCTGAGGTACACAGACCTTCTGCCAACTCCCCACATCACATTCTAGCCGTGGTTGCCAGTTAGGAAATCAATTCTCTGCTGCTCTGTTTGCTTCGCTTACACGTCACTATAAAGCTCTCTACTTTTGGTAATCAGCCTTATTTCTAATTACTACCAAAAAGATGTAACTTTATTTTCAAAATAAAATAGTAGCATTGAGGGTTGGTACAAAGGTCTAGCGCATTTACATTACCTACCTAAAGATGAAATTTATATTACCTACCTACCGATGAAGAACGTGACACAAAAGTTTTTAAAAAGTGACCTCACCCAAAACCACATGTCCAGAGGCAAGATTCAAAGGGTCATTTTACTCCATGACTCTGTCACTTGACAAACTACATGGGATCTCACCTCCACTTCCAAGAATTGGTCCAGCTTCCCTGTGTCTCTAACTATGCAGTTTTGGATAACATTTGCACCAGCAGCCCCCGCCTGTCATCTTCCAAGTTCACCCAAGCCAATGAAGCCTGAGATGAACTTTCTCAATGTGAACATGGTCTCCGCTGTGCACCGTGTCCTGTCGGTGTTAGTATGGAGACCCTACGGGGCAGGTCACTGACCTGCAGAATCGGTGAGTCAGAATTGACTCAATGGCAGCATTTTATTTTTGTTTTGTTTTGTAATAGGGTATATGTTTAAATATATGAATATATAACATAATTTGATGTATACAGTAGGCATAACAGCATATATAAATTAATACACATAGGGAATAAGAGATGATGATGATCTTGGGGGACCTTATCATTGTAGTTCCTGATGGGTTTGCAGGTTCATATCCCGCCTGTTCCTAGAGTTGGTCCTTTCATATTAAACACCCCATAGTTTACAAAAGCACAAACACTGCCACCCAGTCAGTGCTGATTGGAGAGATTCCACAGGTCCAAGGAGTGCTGTAAGGGCTCCAAGGTGCGAATCTTCATTTACTGGGGTGCACGGCCCCATCCTTCTCCCCCAGAGCAGCTCATGGGTTCTACCTACGACCTTTCGGTTCACAGCTAAGTACTTCAGCACTGTGCCACGGGGCCATTTTCACACATCCCAGGTACTATCCAAGGCATCATGACACGTGAACAGAAAGGTGTACTTACAGCCTAACCAGATTGGTGAGCCCTCGAAATATGTCTGCATTCAGGCATCCTATCCGGTTATTTGTCAGGTCCCTGAGGAGAGGGGGAACATGGCCACAGTGAGTATTCAAGTTAAGGAAACGCACACATTCTCAATTCAAGAACAGAAGCCAGGCTTCAGACCAGGCAGCACCGTGGAGACCTGGACCACTGAGATGGTGTCTTCTTGCTTTGACTTGCCACAGACACTAACCAGATCCTGCTTCATCAGGGCCCGCACTTGGCTTCAAACATTATCTTTGACTCCTGAGAAATCACCCAAGAGGAAGCTGGAGTGAGAAAGAAAAGGGGCCCAGTAGATCTAACTGCCAGCAATACAGGATCTTTAGTGACCGGTCATCTAATTCGGCTGTGTGACCCCCGCCAGGTGAGGCCATCCCAGCCAGCACACAACAGAAACCAGAGCAAAGGGCAAATTAGCAATTGGATGGCCTGTATCAGTCTTCAGCAACAAGCTAATGTACTGCTTCCTAACTCATTGCTCATTATTCCTAACACAGGGGGCCTACAAAACCTTGCGAGGGGGAGCCACCATCTTTTAATTCCAGCAAAATTGATGTTTCAGTTTTTGTCAAAACTTCTACGGAGGTTTCAAGAGTTTAGGGCCCAGTGAAATATATAGTGAAAAAGAAATATGGAATTAGCTTCAAATGAATCTAATGGGGCGAAAATACATGAGCTTCTAGTTTATAGATTGTGTTGATAAGGCCAAAGGGTAACTGAATGGATTCAGATTTTACCTACTTTTGGTTGTTGATGTTTAAACACACATACACACACACACACACACACACACACACACACACACACGGATTCAGATTTTACCTTCTTTGGGTTGTTGATGTTTAAAACTAACTCTCTCTCTCTCTCTCTTCCTGATTCAAATCACCTCTAAAGTAAAGACAGTGGCAAAGCACGCTTCCGAAATGGCTTGGTCCGTTGAGGGAGCTGCACAATTGAGATGAATGACTGAAGGTCCCGTGAAGAAAAGGGGCCTCTGTCTGCTAGCAACTAACACAAGCTTCGAGGCCGCAGAATATCTTTAGAACCACCCGCTTTCATTCAGGACCCCGCCACCGCAAGCTGCAGGCCGGAAGCTCACCGCTCAGTCAGCTGTTTGGAATTAGGAAGGTATTTTCTACCAGGAAGAATATTCTAAATCGCAGGAACACAAGAGATGACTTTGGCAGGGTGTAGATGCTGCCTGATAAAGTCTCAGCGACTCAATGGGAGGCAATCGAAAGGAAGGGGCAAGCCAAACACACTGCCATCGAGTCAATTCTGCCAGACAGCGACCCTGCTGGATGGGGGACGACTGCCCCTGGGGGTTTCCGAGGCTGTGACTGGTTAAGGGAGTCGGCCCGTCTTTCTCCAGCAGGGCCGCTGTTGGTATTGACCTGCTGAGCCGGCAGATCACAGAGCATGTGCAACCACTATGTCACCAATTCAGTATTGGCTGCTGAAGAAGCAAAGGGAAAACATGGGTGATACATTGTATGATCCTTATACTATTCTAGTAAAATGTTGTTGCTAACCACATTTCCTTCCAACTATACTTCATGAACATATTGTTATCAAGAAACTGTGATCCCAAAGCAGTAAATACAGAGGTGGTGATTACAGGGGCGAGAAGATGAAGTGTTCTTGTCTGACAATTTGACACTCGGACCTTTCCCGGGGAGGGGAACAAACCGGGAAAGGAAAGTTGCAGGGAAAATAGCGTAGATGTCCTGAAATGTAATCATCAGAATTACCGAGAGAAATACTTAAACAAAGGTTGCTGGAAAGCGTTTAATTCTAGTCCAAAAGGAAGAGCACACTCAATATTATCTCCAGTTTTTCAGTCGAAGGCTTCTATGGGCAAGTTACTGAATGACGCAGGATGCACTGAAAGATGATGGGCAGAAGACACACATTATCCCAAAAAAGAACAAATGACACTCAACCACTCCAAAAGGTAGCACATGATCAAGAACTAATGACACTCAAGGAAGAGGTCCAAGCTGCGCTGAGGGCATTAGCCAAAGCCAAGGCTCCAGGAACTGACAGAAAAACAACTGAAATGTTTCAAGAAGCTCAGGAAGCCCTGGAAACACTCATTTGTCTGTGTGAGAAATATAAAAGACTGTTGCCTCATTAACCAAGTGGAATAGATCTACGTTTGTGCTCATTCCAAACAAGTGACCTCAAAGAATGTGGAAATTATCAAACTGTCTCACTAATAGCACACTCAAGTAAAATAAAATGTGGCTAATGATCACTCAACAATTGTTGCAGCCGTCCATGAACAGGAAGCTGACAGAAATTCAAGCCAGATTCAGAGGAGGAGGTACCATAAAGGATTAAAGTTGGACTGCTAATTTATAAGGTCAGTGGTTTGAAACCAACAGCTGCTCCAAGGGAGAAAGATGAGGCTTTCTACTCCCATAAAGATTTACAATCTTGGAAACTCACATGGACACAGTTATAGCCTGTCTTACCGGGTTGTTATGAATCAGAATCAACTCGGTAACAGTGAGTTTGGTTTTTTGGACAATGTGAAGAACAGGGCGTCAAGACTGGGTGAAGGCTTATTAAGAACCTGTGATGTGCAGATGACACAACCTAGAACAGACAACACCATGATAAGTAGAGGAAAGATCAATGTTATCCAGGATTTCACTGCACTGGGATTCATAATCAATGCCCATGAAAACAGCCATCAAAAAAATCAAAGACCTTATTCCATTGGATAAATCTGATGCAAAAGAGCACCTGACCTAATCTACGCTATTTTCAATTGGCTGATACGCACGTGTAAACTGGGCAATGAATAATAAGGACCAGAGAATTGATGCCTTCAAAGTATAGTGTTGACAAAGAATGTTGAACAAACCACAAACTGCTAGAAAAACAAACAAATCTGTCTTGCAAGAAGTGCACCCATAATGCTTTGTAGAAAGTGAGGGGGGTGAGTAAGACATACTTGGGGCATGTCTTCAGGTGGGGCCAGTCCCTGGAGCATGCCAGCGGGCCTGCTGGGGTCAGTGAAGACGAGGAAAGTCTCTCATTCAATGGACAGCCACCAGACGGCAACAATGGGTTTAAACGTAACCACTGTGAAGTGTTTTGCTCCGTTGCTTGGTGTTGCTGAGTCAGAGCTGACTCAATGAAGCCAACCAACAACAAACGGTTTCGTGAACACGCCCCCTGCGCTTTTCTACTAGGGACCTCCCCACGTACACTTGTAAACATTATGAAATACCCACGCGTTTTCCTCTCCTGTCAACATTAATGGGCGCCTATAAAAGGAACACTTTAAACTCATCAAGGAGAAAATTCAAATACTTACAATCTCTTCAGCGACGACAGGCCCCAGAAGGCACCTGGATCTATGCTACTAATAAGATTGTTCCGGAGGTCCCTGTGAAAAAAAAAAAAAGCGGATAAAAATGACTCACCTGTCAACACTGAAACACATGCACACATGCTACGACTTACCTGGCCCCGGAAACCTTCAATAACGGCAATGGCAATGGCAATAGCACAAAACCCAAAGCAAAAAAGGTTAACCCACAACCATCTGCCAAGTAAGTGGCAGAGACAATTCAAACTCAAGCTTCTGGTTCCAAAGCCATTGGTTTGTCTCAGTCTAAGTATACAGTCTAAGCAGGTATCATTAGGGGGGAAAACAAAACACAGGGCCCGTGGTAGTGCTATCAGGTAAGCATTTGGCTATAAACCACAGGGTCAGAGGTTCAAGACCACCAGCCACACTGGGGGAGAAAGATGAGACTGTCATGGAACGCCTATGAGGGTCACTGAGTTGGAATCAATGCAGTGGCAGTGGGCTTCTCTGATCATAAAAATAAGTTCTGTCCTCACGTTGTTCGAGCTTGAACGCAGCTACAGTCACACCTGGCTGACAAAGTCGGCCATTCATAATACGGCCACAGCACATCCATTACACTGAGGGTGTTTGTATCTGACTGTATTCAAACATAAGCACCATAAACGTCTGTTCTCCATTCCTCCTCCCAGTGCATCCCTGGTTAGGATTTCTATGAAGTAATGATACAGGTTGAAGGTTCTGAATCCGCCCAGCTGGGTCCTGAGAGGAACTCCTTTCCATCTACTTCTGAAAGGCCGGCCAGTGAAACCCCATGGAGCTCAGGTCTACTCTGCAAGCAGGAACCCCCTTGACAAAAATCAAACTTGATTTTCAGCTAGTAAGTCACAAAATCGGGTCAAAGCAAAGGGCTCACAAGTCCATAGCTCCTGGCATCTGGCAGCCAGCATGCGCGCACGAGAGCGAGAGCGAGAGCGAGAGCGAGAGAGAGAGAAGGAGAGAGAGAAGGAGAGAGGGAGGAGGATGGAGGGAGGAGAGGAGATATGAGAGATAAAATCAACAAACACATTGCCATCTAGTGATTCTGTCTCACAGCTACTCTACCAAAGCTTCCCAAGACTGTAAATCTTACAGGAGCACATAGCCCCATCTTTCTCTCTTGGAACAGCTGGTGAGTTTGAACCACCAACCTTGAGGTTGGCAGTTTGCTGCTTACCAGACATCAGTCACCATCATGTAGTCTGATACTTCTCCAGTGAGCTGGTTCTTCTAAGTAAATACACTGCCACGAGGGCAGCAGTGAGCCAAAGCCTTGTCCCTCTCCAGATGGGGCTGGGAGGACAAGAGCTATGGTTGAAACTCTTCTCTGGGGGCCAGGTCCCTAGGACTTGTTTTGGACATCCCTTCCTACACTGATTCTCCGGTCAGTCCGTCAAGTGTTGGGGAGTGCTCTCAAGAGCAGTGACGGTCAGCTCTGAAGCACATGACAGTAGCTGACTGGGCAGGACCTTATTCCTCTAAACCATGGTCCTGGCCCAGACTTTAGCCGTGAGGTGGCCAGTTGGTGAGGAACGACTCAGCGCGTGCCCAGTGAAGTCCAGGTGCCCTGGCCAACCTCTCAGGGCTTCTGGAGCCCGACTGTACACCACAATCTCCTTCCTGCATCTCTCATGCTTGGAGTCTGTACCCACAGGGACAAAACCACCCGGTGCTGACGGAGCTACCTTTGAGCTTGCTGCGCCAACCTTCTACATCTTAGATTGCTTCGGGGTACCCTCAGCTGGTGACAGAATAGAAACAAGCAGGGGGATGCCTGGCACAAAGTCGGAAGGCAGGTACATCTCATAGGTCCTTTGAATCCAGTGGCTTTTATAAAAAAACAGTCTGTAATGGTCTTAAAGGAAATTCCCCCTCGACCATGGACGTCATGTACTGCCACAATGCGAGGTGCCGAGACTGGCCTGTAAGTCTGACAGATCCCGAGTACTGTCATTGAGTCAATGCCACTCACAATGACTCTGTAAGGGACAGAGGAGAACTGCTCCACAGGGATTCCGAGCCTGTAATAAGTCTTTAAGTGAAAACACAGCTTCAGTCTTTCTGCCATGGGAATGCAAGCCACCTAGCTTTCTGTTAGCTGCCCAAGGCTTAACCCACTGTGTCACCGGGCTTCCTCATGCACAAGTCCAACCCAACCCAACCCACCGCCATGCAGCAGATTCCGACTCATGGGCACCCCGCACAGGGTTTCCGTGATTCTACCAAATCCTCCGGTGACCATGTCAGCCCCCCTCTAACTGGGAAGGCATCTGGCCCCGGCCCCACTCTGTGTCTGGGAACATGACCCCACGCACAGCCATGTTTCGGCAGTGGGCACAGGCATCACGTGTCTTCGTCCATCCAACTAGAAAACGGCATCTCAATCCAACTGTCCCAAAGTCTCGCCTGCAAGGAGGGAGGGAGCCCTGCCACCACCACACACCTGTCACAGCGGATGCTGACTGTGGAGGCATGTGTGATGCTAGGAACAAGTGTCCGTGGATCTTTGGGACCAAGACACACTAGGAAGAAAGGCCTGGTGATCTGCTTCTGAAAGCAAACCTATGAAAACGCCACGGGTCACCATGGTCGTGAGGATGATGCAGGGCTGGGCTACGTCATGTTGGTCAGTCAACTAGAGGTCGTCAACTAGACGGCCTCTCCTAACCAAACCCCCCTATCACCAGCTAGTGAAAACTGACTGAGCTATATGGCCTGATGGAGAACAAATCTCTATCTTAATTTTCTAACAACTAGTTGTGAAGAAGGTCAGTGAAACAAAAGAAGACCGTCAAGGAAATGGGTTGACAGAGCAGCTACAACAATGGAACGACCGTGAGGAGGGTGCAGGCCAGGGCAGTGCTTGATTCTGTTGTACGCAGGCAGCTAGGAGCCGCACTACTCAGTGGCACCTGTTAGTCCAGGTAGACTAGAAAGGCAAATTCATAGAAGCACTCTTATGTGTATAAAAAAGAGGCTTATATACAAGAGCAATTGGATATTGAGTAAACGTCCCAGGCCAGTTCAGATCAAGTCCATAAGTCTGATATTAGCCCATATGTCTGATACCAATCTATAAATTCCTCTTCAGCCTCACGCAACACATGCAATGACGCTGACTGCAGGAAGACCACAGGTCAGTGGGTATAAAGTCTTGTGGATCCAGTGGAGTTGTAAGCATCTCAGCACTGGCAGGGGTGTCCACATGGCTGCTTCAGCTCCCAGGGCTCTGGCTGCATCAACAGAGCTCCATCAAGGCTCGTCATCAGTAATGTCTCACAGGGAGTGAGTATGTGTCCTATCTCCAACGAGCTATTTATCTCCTTAGTGCCTCCAAATGAGATCACCAAGCTGCGACCTGATTAACAGGCTATACTCCACCTCTTTACTCTTAAATATCAAATTGACAACCGATTATATAATTTCCACAGCACCTAAAAAACCTAACCATGATTAGGGGCAAAAGGATACAGGTTACATAAGATGGGTGTCGGTGTCAGGACACGTGTCCTGGAAGTTTCACTAAACCATACTGATGAGGTTGGAGTGAAAAATCAAAATACTGGTGAGTATCTGTCCATCCTGTACTGAGCCCAGCATGGTCCAGGAGTCGATGGCTCAGAGGTTGCCGCACGGTCCACACTGGGAAGGCCTCATCTCCGAGCTCTAAATGGCGGAGGGATTCTCCAGAGCAGCTGCACTCCAGAAGGACACTACTGGAGCCTGTGGAGGCGGGGCCTCTCATTCCTCCTGCTTCACCCAGTCAAGCAGTCTCAGAGCTGGGGTGAGGGGCGCACTGCCCCACCCAGTCAAGCCCGGCTTGCTGTGTTTTTTGTTTTTAAGAAAACTGGAATTCCCTCTGGATGACACAATTTGATTTTCTAACCGGACGTTGATTATTAAGCACAGGTATAAACTCTCTGCTCTGATGCCCACAGATGCCCACTCCATCCATCAGAATCAAGAGCCTTCTTTGTTCGGCAAGAAGAGAACAGCTGGGTCCGGGCTGGCAGATCCTCCTCTGGCTATTTCGCAGTGCGGGCGCTAAAACATTTTTGAAATAAAGTCCTCCACATAAAAACGCCCGTAACTTCCTCAAGAAAGACTGGCAAGCACCTTTGCCAGACCTGCAGGGACGGCTGGACACAAGAAAACGGTGTCTCTCGGTGTCCTGGTGTCCTGCTGCGGCAGCTGGCAAGAGGGCCTATGATGCGGACCCTGGGCCATTGGCATTTTAAATGCCAGCAGGGGGACAGGTTTCAGCAGAGCTTCTTGGCTGAGAAAGGCTAGGAAGGCCATCCCAGGAAGCTTCACCCCTGCACCCTCCCCCTGCTCCCCAACCTCCCTGAAGGAATTCTAGGGTCTGATGAGCAAATGAAATCTCTATGTTTGAGGCTCATAATGCATAAGCTCTGCAAATAAAAACAGAGAACATCTATTCCGGTTGTTTAAAACATACGTGTCCTTTCTTTTCCTTGGGATGTCAAAGGCATCCCCAACGGGCACGGATTTAGCTAGAGCCGAAACACATCCGTTTGTGGCCCGTGATGTATGGACTCCATTTCTCTACGGAGTAGCTCTCTTGAATAAGGGAGTTCTGTGATGTGATTTAATGATACGCTTTGTCTTCAGTAATAAAAATTACGTGATGAACTATATAAAATGAAGTGATCACTTATATGATCCACATATTTATCACAAAAGGCATATAATATCAAAAAAGCTAGATGCCATGTGTTGGGGATGCTAGAAGAAGCTAATGCCTCCAGTGGCATTTCAGAAACGAGCAGCGCCACCCAAGTTTTCAGCAAAGCTTCCAGATTAAGACAGATTTGGAAGGAGGGCCAGGTGACCAGCAGGTGACCGTGATCTGGCGCTGCCCTGGAAGATGGGCGCCCCCCCTCTGGTTGGATGGCACTCAAAACATGAGTGGGGAAGTGCCGTCTCCTCACAGTACAGTTGACATTAAGACAGGGAGGCAGCAAAGCTTTTGTGACCTTCCTTGATTAAGGTGGTATGACGCAAAGTGAGAACTGCCAGCAACCTTTAACAAGCCGAGCCCGGAATGGACAAAGCATCCCATGCTGGGAAAATGGGAGATTGAAAAGATTGATATGGTGGGCATTCGAGAGCTGAGCTGAGCTGAGCTGAGCTGAGCAGGCAGTGGCCATTCTGAATCCAGAGATCATCTGGGTTACTACCAAACTCCAAACTCCCACTGCCATCGAATGCATGCTGATTCAAAGTGACCTTCTAGGACCCGGGAGAACGGCCCCTGTGGGTTTCCAAGACTGTACCTCTTGACCGGAATAGAAAGCCCGATGTTTCTCCTGTGGAGCTGCTGGTGATCTGGGACTGCTGACCTTGCAGTTAACCACATGTAACCCCATCACTAGGACTCCTTCACCGGGTGCAAAAAAACAGTATGGAGGTGGCAGCATTTGACCTCTCTGACTTCACAAGCAGGCGGAGGAGAATCTCCATCAGCACCAGCCTCAGGTCCATTCCTAAGCCTCCAACCTTCCTTACCAATTCTGGCACCAACTGTCCCTCCCACCGCACTCGCTACTTCTCCGCTGGGTCCAACAGTTCACAGACCACGCTCATGATTAGGGGCTTCACTAGGAAAGTGAACAGGTTACAATTTGTCTTTGGTCAAAAGTTTCTTCCCAACAATGCCCACAGCCAGGCCTCTCTGGTCCTTGGTCTCGTGGTCTCTACATGTCCCCCCGATCTCTGCCGGTTGGGCATGACCTTTGGATAAATGCTTAAAGGGTCCGCCACTCGGCTGTAAGCTTCAGGCTGAAAGTGCTCAGCCAACCCAGCTCCCCAATTAAGTGCCTGGAGGTACTCCACTCTGCAAGCAAACCTCCTGCCCTCAGCTTTGTGCCCTCAGCTTTATGCACTCAGCGGGCAAGGAAGCCCTCAGCTGTATCTCATACTCTGGGCTCTTGGTTCTTTCCGCTGCTGTCGTCTTTGGCCACTTCTCTGGTGTCACAGCTTCTCTGTCCCCTGAATGGAGAAGGGTCAGTGAGCAAGGACCCAAGGAAACACTCCAACTTTGGCTTTTAAGAGCCTGCTTCCCGTTTCTGAAATTTTATACCCAGCAAGCCGTTAAACCTGACAAATATAGGACAGTTCCAAGTTTTCACTCACAATCAACTTGGTTAACAATCAGTCACAACTGATTCAGACAA